ACCTAAAGAGATAATGACAGGCTTGTTCTTGGACATATTAGTGGAATGACTGGGTTGGCCTGCTTTCTCAACTTTCTTTACATGGGAATGATTCATGCATAATCAGTGCTCGTTTGCTAAAAAGAGCACAGTATGGAATGGACTTCAACCTCTCACCTTGAGTCTCTACAGGGAGGGTAGTGACAGGTCCAGTACCAACACCATTGACTGCAGCCACTGACAGAGTATACTGTGTGGATGGAATCAGTCCAGAGATTGTGGCTTGTCTAGCATCTACGTTAACACTAGATGTTACTTTTACTGCACCCCATCAGAGGTTTCTGCAGTAACTGTGTAGCCAGTGATCTCTCCATTTCTCTCCAGACATGCCACCTCCCCCCACTGCAGAGTGACACTGTTAGCAGTGAGTGTACCCAGTGTGATTGAGGCCGGAGAACCACTGGGAGCTGTAATAGACTAAAACAGCTAACAACTAAGGAACTAGACAATTGTACTGCCCCTTACCAGCTTCAGTGGTCTTTGCAGTAACAGAGTTACTGACTGGACCTCTACCAGCATCATTGAAGAGTTTCACAGTGATGGTGTACCTATTCCCCTCCTCTAGTCCAGTTATTGTATAGCTAGTGAAGCTGCCAGTCGCAATAATGCTTCCCTCATCCTCATTAGAACAGCCACCTGAGGTGTCTCTGCCACTGGACTGAGAAGCCAGTCACCACCGAGTCACTGGGGACATTACCAGTGATGGTGACAGTAGTGGAAGTGACTGTTGGAGTTGAGTCAATGTATGGAGCTGATGGAACTGTGGTGGGAGCAAAATATCAGAGTACACACACTGAGAAAATAGATTGTTTGTGGGGTGCTCATTGTAAAACTGAAACACTTCCCTGTGTAAACTATCACATACCTAAACTAACCGTGACTACCAACGGTGCACTAGGCAGACCAGATGATGTGACAACAATGGATATGGTGTATGTCTGTCCATTGGTGAGACCAGTCAGAGTGTAGCTGTTAAACAGCATGTGATTACTGTCAAACACTTTCATAGAGTTAGCATTTCGCTCACAGACAATGGAATTCACGGAGTTGCATTATGAATGATTGCGCAACATCGGGTGACATTTCACGCGTGTAGCATAATTTTACTGCAATCTGATTCGCTGTCTCAGAAAGTAAGACTGTCGAGTCAGCACAACCAAGAAATCACTCAATAGTCACCATACACTTTTCCTTGAGAGAAGGCTGGGTCTGGGTTCGAGACAAAATTAGATTAGGATTTGGGGGGAGTGGAACATATTAAGTTGAACATGCTACGATACGATAAGTTTCACGGTGGTATGAGAGTATGAGGTGGCTAGTAGATTCTATGTAAATAGGGGTTTACCTAGGATCCTAGATAACACCATCCTAAGAGCGCCCTTGTACCCCATAGTATCAGGTGTTCTCTCTATACTAGAACCTAGTGAAGGTGACTCAGGTGGTGTGTTCAAGGAACATGGAGTAACCACTCATTGTCGCTACAGTGGAGGGGTAGGTAAGGTGTATCCTTTACAGCCCACTGTTTGCTCTTTATATGTGTGGTGCTACCAGTGCTGTGCGTCACTAGACTCATCTTTCCCGACTCTGACTAAGTCTCAAATCTGATCAATCTCCATGTCCATACACTATTAATGAAAATTATAGATGGTGTAATGAGTCAGAAGAGTCTTCATAGAGTCTGGAAGCTACATAAGTTGAACCTTAGAACGAAGTTTTTGGATGAGAAAGTCCACAGAGTGCAACCATTGAACTGCTGCTCTACATGATTATTGAATTATCTTGTGTGGCAGCATCACCATCATCAGATTGTACAGAAAATTGTACAATTCAGATGACTAGGTTAGCCTGCCTTTGTGTACATTTTGCTTATACTTCGAAAAGAGCTCTGTGGCTGATTATTTTCAATCTTTGTTTTACATTACTTGTCAGGAATTCATTTCGGAGGGGGGCGAGGGTGGGGAAGGCCCCTTGTCCCCTTGATTATATCTTGCCCCCTGGAGTTTAGCAGACACAGGGCTTTGCCCCCTCTTTTTCATAACTACTCATTTTGCCCCTGTTGGATCAACCTCTAATGAACACCTGTTTGTGTGTCCAGGAGCTCATAGCTGGTGGTGTTGCAGCTGTCATCTGATGGAAGGTTCAAAAGGTCACCTGCCACAGTCACCCTGTCTGTGTCTCCGTGGAGCTGTGCGTTTAATTGGTCGGACCGACTGTGGGTGTGTCTGCCCCATCAGCAAGACCCCACACAGCTCTGGCAGTTTAAGGGTGGAAAGGCATGTATATAGCGTACTCCACCAAATTTCTATAGCTGTGTGCTTTTTCACATACACTATTCCTCTTTTCATGGATTTTTGCAATGCCTAACTGATGATGGTCTGCATGACTGAATGGTCTTGTGTTTCTGAGATCTACTATTCCATAACTTTTGTCAGCAATACAGTTTCATACTCTCTCTCTGTTTCTTACAGTGTCAGAGATGTTCAAGTCCACTTCAAGAAAGGCTTAGCAACTGGGATACCTTCAGCTACCTAGCTACCACAGCTTTTTTCTAAGGGAGGAAGAAAGCTGTGGGTGGAGCCAAACTTTAATCAAGTGCTGCAGGTTGTATTTTGTGATTTGAAGGTGGTTAAAAAATTGGTGGGCAGTTCATCCACTGCAGTTTCAGCCTTTATTTTTTTATATTTCCATAAATAGTTATGGATTGAAAAGCAAGTCAACAGGAAAATAGTGCTGGCTGTGTGTGTGTGTTATGCTCATATTGGGTTGAAAGATGGAGTGTCCAGTAAGAAACGAGGAGCATTGCCATAATTCAACTTGTTCCTACTAGTGTAGTAGCTACTGTGCGAGAAGCCATGACTAGACTCAGTTTATCATATGGGAGAAGCAACACCCGCGTGAGTGCGCTTTGGATTTGCGCTTTAATGCTTACTGAAATTTGAAAAACTTCTCCACAATAATTGGCAGTTTATGTGGTAGATATACATTGCACACAAACTTTGCAAAGAGTAAACAGGGGGAAAGGTTTTAGGCATAATTTGTAAGCGTTTCGTGTCACTTGAATATTTGAACTCGATTGTTTCCAGTGTCACTGACAAAGACATAGCCATCATCTCTGACAGCTATAGCATATGGGTCATTGAACTCTCCATCTTTGTTCCCTCTCTTCCCCAGTGACTTAACGTACTTGCCATTCTCATCAAATACTGATACTCTGGGATAGCTTTGTTCAACCACATACACCCAGTCATTAGGTCCAACTGCCACACTGATTGGTCCTCTCAGTCCCTCTCCTGCTACAGTGTGAGTGATGGATGACAGATGATGGCCATTGGCATCGAAAATCTGAACTCTCTTATTCAAATAGTCAGCTACTAATACATTTCCTCTTCTGCTGACAGATATTGACTCAGGCTGGTTGAATTGACCTGCCTCACTTCCCACACTTCCAAACCTGCCATGGAATGTCAAGTCATGCTGGAGGATTGTGATGCGATGGTTGTAAGTGTCACAGACATACACTCTGTTGTTGGTGTGGTTGTAGGCTATGGCCCATGGCGTACTGAACTGCAGTCGTCCACTGCCCTTTGAACCCACTGATGCTATGAACTGACCCTCAAGAGTGAATTTGTTCACACTATGATCCCCACCTACTACAATCACTGTGTTATCAGAAGAGATGGCTACTCCTCTTGGTTGAATAAGTCTGCTTTCATCTGGTCCTGTGTTTCCAAATGATCGCAACAGCCTGTGATTATTGTCAAAGACTTTCATACAGTTTGCATTTTGCTCACAGACAACGGTTTCCCCAGTTTTGGCAAAAGCAAGGTGACGTGGGCGGTTTATTTCACAAATTGTCTTGACATGAGTACCTCTAAAGACGGTTTCAAACTTCATTTCTCCTAATTTATGACATGCTGAACTCAAGTCTGCACACACCACACTAATCTCCTTCTCTGGACCCAACACCAGTTGCTGAGGTTTGAACTCCTCTGCCATCTCCCGTGCCCTCTCCTCCACTTGTCTCTTCATCGACAGCACCTCCTCTTGTGTGCCACTCTGCAGACTCCCCTCCACAAACTCCACGCAGCTGCTCAGCTGGGCCTGCCTCAACTCGTGTCCGTCAATCCGGGCCGCCAGCTCCTTCTTCCCCTGACACACCTCACCATCTATCTGGGAGTGAAGCTCCCTCCTGCGAGCCTCTAGGATGGCCTGGAGCTTGTCTACTTCAGCATCTACCTGTGCCTTCGCCTCTATACCCTGTCCATCTAGCCTGCTGGACCTTGCCTTCAGCTGTGCAATGGTGCTCCCTACACTAGCAAGTTCAGATTTGACGGGACCTAGGCAGGCAAGGATGGCATCTCTGTGTTTGGGGAAGGTGTCTGAGACGAGGTCGTAGTTGTGGTCGCGATGGGTCTTGACGGTGCAGTCGCGACATATCAGCTCATCGCACGTCTCGCAGTAGATCTTGATGGGCTCTGTTGCATGCTTGGAACACATGGAGCTCACCTTTTTGGGTGTCACCATTTTCGAGGCTGTTTCTTGAACTTGGTCGAGGGTGGATATTTCGTGCCCCTGCAATTCCTTCCATTTACGATGCGTAATGAGGCAGTGCTGGCAAATGAACTGGCCGCAGTCTCGACAGAAACCCTGCACCTCTCCCTCCCCACACTTGTCGCACTTCGCCTTCTCCGGGTCACACACCTTTTCCAAGACCTCCCTCACCTCGAAAAGGTGCTGGATGTAGAAGGCAGAGGGAAGGCTGAACGAAACTGGGAGGGGATGGGTAGTGTGGCAGGATGCTGAGTTTGACAGTTTTTCTAGTGCTTGCTGGCGCTGGATTTTCAGTGGTGGCTTGCATGGCTTTTTCGGCCCATTATTGCGGAAAGCACACAAATGTCTGGCATGAAGAGTAGTACCACACATCATAGTTTGCAAGTAGATACAGTTATGTTTAAAAGCCTCTATGCACTACCTACATAGGTCCTGCCGATTATGCAAACCTATGTAGCTTCACACACAGTATTGGTGCCTTGCATAGAGTAGGTACACATATTATTACTGCATGTAAAAGTGAGAACTACCACTTGTGCCAAGGGTTGGGCTCTGTGTAAAAGCTAATTAGGTTCCACCCAATTTGCAGGCCTCTTTTTTCTGCTACATAGCTTCACACACACACACCGTTTTGGTGCCTTACCTAAGAGAGAGTGAGTTTCAAAACGAATCAGAGTAACACCACCGCCAAATCTTGTACAAAAACGGCCCTTGATAGTGTGGTGCAGAATCATGAAGAGATAGACTGAACCACAGACGGCAATATTCGTGGCCCATGTCCCAAAGAGTGGGAAGGCACAAACTACAGTAAATAGGCACTAAACCATATTCATGACTGGAGTCCAAGATCACCCCACCACACCCCACCCCCACCACCCACCAGGTTAAAAACTCATTGTATGGAGTGGTGAGGTTGGAAAAACACAACTCTTATGCACATTTGCAGTAAAGCTGAACCCAGGATCTGGTCTTCCTTCCAAACACCTCACTCCCAGGCTAAGCAGTGTTTCAAGACAGTGGTGTACAAACCCATTGGCACACTTGATGACAGAAGTATATGACTCAATTTCCCCTTCTCACTGGATCCCTTCCCCCCCTCCCCCCACCATCATCAGGAAATCGGGAACCATGGTCCAAGCAACAAACCAATAGCTTAAGCTAAGCATGGGTGGGTTGTTTAGTGTACTAGGAAACTGAGAGGCAAGTATGTATCTTCTATTCTTCTCCGTGTGAAACTAGTCTGCAGAGCTACACAAACCCACTATAGAACCAGCATGGAGTATGCGAGCTAGTATACAATATCATATACCTTGGTACTTTTACAGAAGGCTACTTACCACACACCACCATACAATGTACTCCATCCAGAGTGTGGGGAGGTATGGAGTGGTCGGTGCAGTCTGCGGAAAAGACCCCATGATGACAACATGACCAATACTGGCCGCAGAGGACGAGAGGATGCCCACCAGAGAGGCTCGGCCAATAGCTCACCCACCTCCAACACCAGTCTGACGAGAAAGAGCACTCGCCACGGTCCTCCTCCGCGTTGAGGAAGATGAAGACTCAAACTGTGACATACATTGTGATGTGTCTTGAATGGGATCCTACCACATGGATTTTGTGCCTCAAATCATGTGAGCACGTTGACTTGCAGCATGAAAATCTTGAGCTCTTCCACTATGTTTTCACATGTTCAGTGCATCATTTGTTCGTGGGTGTGGGTGGAAGAGTAGACCAATTATGTCTATAAATCCTGCGCAGTACTCTCACTCGACTTGTGTTTTACTCTCATACTGATAGTGGGATGGAAGATAAAGCAATCAATGAGCGTTTACTCTCATCGACTTGATGTTACTATCAAATACAACATAAATGACACGCCAACAATCGGCGTAACCTTGAGACTGAACCACAGACGGCAAGATCGTGGCCAGGCCCAAAGAGGGGGAGGACACAAACTATAAGTGAATAAGGCACTTCTAGAAAAACCCAATATTCATGACTGGGAGTCCATCAAAGACTCGAACCCACCACCACTCACCACCACCCACCAGGTTAAAAACTAATGTATAGGAAGTGGTGAGGCTTGAGAAACAACAACAACTGCTAGTTCAAAAGGCCAGGTAAAGCTTAACCCCGGATATGGTCTCCTTCCAAAAACCTACTCACCACTTAGGGAGCTTTCAGCAGTGGTGTTTCGAAGACAGTTGGTGTGACAAACCACAAGTGGCCACTGCGACAGAAGTTATATGACTCAAATTTCCCCTTATCCATGGGACTTCCTCCCCCTCCCCCCACCCATCATCAGGAAACGGGAACCATGGTCCAAGCAACCAAACCCACTAGCTTAAGCTAAGCATGGGGTGGTTGTTTAGTGATAAGACAAACATGAGAAGGCAAAGTATGTATTCTTCTCCCGTGAACTAGTCTGGCAGAGCTAACCCAACTATTAGACCAGCAGGGAGTGCCTAAGCTATTTACACTCATATAACCTGGTGGACTTACCAGAAGGGCTACCTTAAAACACCACCATTAATGTACTCCATCCCAGAGTGGGGTGAGGGTATGGAGTGGTCAGTCTGCGGAGACCACCCTTGACAACATGACCCAATACCTGGACCTGCAAGGAGGAGAGGATGCGCCACCAGAGAGGTCGGCCAATAAGCTCACCACTCTAACAAAACACCAGGCTGACAGAAATTTCTCCACCGGCCATCTCCCGAGAGGGAGACTGAAGACTTCAAACTGTGATCATTGTGATGGGTTTGAATGTTGCATCTTCTACAGGGATTTTGTCCATCATGTGAGCCGTTGATTGCAGCATGAACTTGAGGGGGAATACTATTCACTGGTTTCAACATGTTCAAGCATCATTTTGTTCTTGGGTGTGGGTTGGAAGAGATAGACCCAATTATGTATTAAAATTCCCTGAGGATTTAATCACTCGTGTGTTACTATAATAATTATAGTGGGTGGAAGATAAAGCAATCATTGAGAGTTACTCTCTCGACTGGTGTTTACATCAAATCAACATACTGACACGCCAACAATGGCTAACCGTGAGCTCAATCTTCGTATAAACAATGAGACTAAGTTTTGGCTGTGTATCCATCTGGTTCTCCTTGTGTGTAGCTATACGTCATCTTATAAAATATTCGCCATCTCAGTTCATTGCGGAGTTTGGTCTTTTAACTAATTAACAAGTGCAAATGAGGAGGATGCACTCCTCTGCTAATTTCCCATCATTACATATTAAAACTAATGTATCACTATAATCTATCTCATGAATGTCTGCAGTCGTCCGATATTAACAGTAATGTAGGGACAAAATCACAGGCAGGCTCAGTAGAAGGAGAGTCTCAGCAGCAGGAGGGTAGGCTGGGAGAGGTGGCGGGAGGGAGGGCTTGTGTTCCTCATATTCACCTTCGCTGTCCTTCAAGTCCCTCTTCACTACATCGTAGGACTCATTACTGGAGGTCGGAAACTGCTCTGAGCACTGCGGAACAGGCACATTGACAGGAGACAAGAAGTTAAAATTAAAAATGATGTACACCTCTGTTGTGGCACTTACACCTACAGATATTCTTTGCCTGAGAATGTGGGCATTTCT